GGAGAATTCACCTCCACTGTCAAACACTGCAATAAATCTTCTTCTGAAAAAAAAAAGTGGACATCTGGACTTGAGTAGCACGGCACAACAAACCCAATAAGCCGATGTTCCAATTTCCTAAATGGAATGAGCTGTTTCCTGAATTGGGTTTCTGTGGATTTGGACGGAGGAGTAGTGTACATGGATGGAAGGGACAGAGGGAGAAGAAGTTGAGCTAGGGGTGTCTTCTAGTTCTAGCTAGTAGTCCTATACTCCCATAAGAATGGCTCCTCCATCTGTAATCCAAAGTCGGCTTCTCTCGGTGAAAGCAGAGGCGAACAGAAGCCAAACCTGTCGATTTGATTGCTGCTGACCCTCTTCATCTATGGACGGAGAAACTGAGAATTCTTGGGTGTCTTCGGACGTGGTGGTGAGAGATGGGGAGTGAATGATTGGAAGAAACTCCGGTTCCTGTTCGCTAGGTCCGCCTTCGGCGTTGACTTCATGACTACTTCTCAATGGTTGCTCGCCGAATGTGGCAATGGCGGCCTTGGCAGAGGCAGCTTGGATGTCTTTGGGCGATGAGCTGGCCGGCCGGTGTCACCGGGAAGGAGAATCTTCCTTCTAGTTACTCCAAAGCGGCAATGCTCGTTCGCACAAACACGATGATGAAGGTTACTCCGGGATAAGGTGGGAGATATTGGAAGCCATGTCCAAGCTCATGAACCAAAACTTGATTCCTAAGTTGCCTTTGAGAGTGACTATCACTGCCTCTGGTGATCTCGTGCCACTGTCTTACATTGCAGGCTTACTAACCGACAGGCATAACTCGAAAGTAGTCACCCCGGACGACGAAGAAATCACGACCTTGGAGGCATTGAAGCGAGCTGGAATCCCTTCTCCGTTTGAGCTGCAGGCTAAGGAAGGTATAGCTCTGGTGAATGGGACTGCAGTCGGTTCTGCTGTTGCTGCCACAGTTTGTTTTGATGCCAATATATTGACTCTCCTTATTGAAGTACACTCGGCCTTGTTCTGCGAAGTCATGCACAGGAAGCCTGAGTTTACTGATCCGCTGACCCACGAGCTGAAGCACCATCTTGGCCAAATCGAATTGGCGGCCATCATGGAGTTCCTTCTAGATGAGAGCGACTACATGAAAGAGGCAAAGGCACGTCACGAGAAGGACCCGCTTACAAAGCCCAAGCAGGATCGCTACGCGCTCAGGACCTCCCCTCAATGGCTTGGGCCACAGATTGAAGTGATTCGCATGGCGACTCACTCTATCGAGCGAGAAATCAACTCTGTTAACGACAACCCATTGATTGATGTGGCTCGCGACATGGCTCTGCACGGAGGGAATTTCCAAGGAACTCCAATCGGGGTCTTGATGGATAACCTCAGGATTGCCATCGCAGCCATTGGGAAGCTCATGTTTGCTCAATTATCTGAGCTCGTCTATGATTACTACAACGATGGATTGCCTTCCAATCTGAGTGGTGGGCCCAACCCGAGCCTGGACTACGGGTTCAAAGGTGCGGAGATCGCCATGGCAGCCTATTGTTCGGAGCTTCAATACCTGGCCAACCCAGTCACCACGCATGTCCAAAACGCAGAACAACATAACCAGGACGTCAACTCCCTCGGTTTGATCTTCGCAAGGAAGAGTGCAGAAGCCATATAGATCTTAAAGCTCATGTCAGCAACGTATATGGTGGCACTTTGCCAGGCGATTGATCGAGGAGAACATGAAGGAAGTGATGAAACACATCGTCAACCGAGTAATAAGGAAGACACTGTACATGGGTGAAGACGGGTTGATGCTCGAAACCCATTTCTGCGAGAAGGAAGTCTTGCAGATTATCGAACACCAACCTGTGTTCTCCTACCTCGACGATCCGACGAACCCATCATATGCTCTACTCCAACTGCGGGAAGTCCTGGTGGAAAAGTCGATTCAGGAATCTCCAAAAGAGGAAGGGGAGACTGACAACGGGTACTCGATATTTAAACGGATACTTGTATTTCAAGAGGAATTGAAGGCGAGATTGGGTGAGGAGGTAGACCAGGCCAGGGAGAGATTGGACAATGGCGATTTCCCCATACCAAACATGATTAAGAAATGTAGGACTTATCCCATATATAGGTTTGTGAGGACAGAAGTAGGGACTGAACTTCTGAGTGGTGTAAAGAAGGTGAGTCCTGGAGAGCACATAGAGAAGATAAATGAATAGTGTGTTTTTGGGTAAACACCGTGAACAGTATGTTTTATTTTAAGGGTAATTTTGACATTTTTAAAAATATTAAATCTCACATGAAGTGGCATGATATACATAACTGACAGTTCATTAACGGTGGGTACTAAATTGTCGCATTTCAAAAGTTCGGGTACTAGATTGTCACGTTTTAAAGTTTGGGTACTAAATTGGCACTTGGCCTAAAGTATAGGGTACCTATCGGGAATTTTCCCTTGATTTAAATGGATTTAGGATGGGTTAACATTTTTCAAGTATTATAACTTTTCGGTGCCATAGAAATTGACATATTGTTTATGAAACTTTTTATATTTTATTTTAAATAGTGATGATGATGATGATATATGACTAAAATTTTCTATAAATTTTATTTATATTTTTATAAAAATGATTCTTTTTTATTACACTTTTGTCTATTATAATGAATATATAATATCAGATGTGTCTAATTAGAATAGGATGGGCAAAATGGAGAATTACATTTAGAGTTTTGTATGATAGGCAAATATCGCTTAAATTAAAAAAAAAATCTATAAAATAATTATAAGATTAGCTATGCTACACATAATAAAAGTATTGGATAGTCAAGAAACAATATGTCTAAAAAAATGAGTGTGACAGAAGTGCATATACTAAAATGAATAAGTGAAAAAACTAGAAACAAAATTATTCAAACGAATTTAAGAATAACTCTAAAAGGTAATAAAATGAGAAAAAGTAAATTAAAATGGTTTTATCTCCTTTAATAACATCTATGAGAAAGAAATGATTTTTTGCAAATTAAGGGGCTATAAGAGTTAGGGGTATACGAAAAATACTTCAAAAGTTTTGATAGATAAAGAAATTGTATATCGGATTTTTTATTCCAAACATTTTAAGGATGTATATATCTATTTCCATATATGTATGCAAGTTAATAAAATTTAAATGAGTCATTATTGAAATCGGATTTGGTGCTATTCTCACAGCTGAAAAGGGTTGTGAAAATGGTAGTGTGAGCACAATTTTGTGAGATAGAATCTGCCCTCATCATTATCATATTGTTTGGTTTTTTCCTTCATCATTATGTATATATGTGCATAGCACGTGCCTTTTACACCAATTCATATTGGTATATGGATACTTACATATTTCTATTTACTGTATTACAGGATTATAGCACAATGCAAATCTGGTCGAGCAAAGACCTCAAAGGCTAAAGGGTATAAAAGCGATTAGGGTGAGAAAATGGTCAAGTTCTATCCAATCTATTACAAGGTAGGGTTTGGTTCCAAATTCTTGGAATTGACCCCACCCAGGTCCATTTTAAGATCTAGGGATTTATCCTACTTGAACCAACTTGATGAACTGGCCTTGGTGGAATTGAAGTTGCCTTGAAATAAATCCCAAAATATTTTTAAGGATGTGAAATTTTGAACCCAATCACTTTATGGTTACAAAAGCTATGGTCTCCCTTAACCGTTGAATTAATTAAGGGATTTGATCATTTGATTTCATTTTAATATTTGATTGGGTATAGGAGCGACTAGGGGTGAGAAAATGGTCAAGTTCTACCTAAAATTGAATGGAACCGACCTTGAATTGATCCTATCCAATCTATTACAAGGTAGGGTCTGGTTCCAAAATCTTGGAATTGACCCCCACCCAGGTCCATTCTAAGGTCTAGGGATTTATCCTACTTGAACCAACTTGATGAACTGGCCTTGGTGGAACTGAAGTTGCCTTGAAATAAATCGTAAAATATTTTTAAGGATGCGAAATTTTGAACCCAAGCACTTTATGGTTACAAAAGCTATGGTCTCCCTTGACCGTTGAATTAATTAAGTGATTTGATTATTTGTTTTCATTTTAATATTTGATTGTGTGTAAAAATAATATTTATAAAATTTAAATTATAATAACTAATTTTAAACTATAAATTAATATACTATGATATTCTATATATTAAACTATTTAATTTAATCAATAAAAATAATATAAATTTTAAATTATATATTATCATAATTCAAAATCAAGTTTTTAAAGAATATGTTTTATTTTTTAAGGGAAGAGTATAGAAAGAAAAAGTTGAAAGTTGAAACCATTCCGAGAATCGCCAAGGCCAAAAGAGGCTCTGAAACCAACCTTTATAGAATAATTTCCGATTTTAAAATCTTGGAAGGGGGCCGAATTTCCAAACCTAACCAAGCCAACCCATGCTCACAACTAAGAGCGACTGGCAAGTTGGACAAGAGTTAGGTTGGCACGTTGCCGTACATACAAGAAGTAGTACATTAACCAAGGTGAGGAGCGGAGTAATGGAGCTCACTGTGCTCTCTGCCTTCTCTCATCACTCCCATCATCCAGACATCCACACTCTCTCGTTGGGTGACTGGGTGTGAGAGTTATCAAGTAAGAGAGTCAAATAATGCTTTTAATATTTCCTTTCCTTCTTATTTTTTATTTTTATTTGCTGTCGGATGCAAATCTGAAAAGAGTGAAATAAAACAAAAGAGTAAAAGACGAAGGTCAGTTGCTCTTGCCATTTGTGTCCCGGGGGAAGAAGGAATCTCTAGTTGTTTTCCATTCCTTTCGCTTCACGCCTTCAATGGCAATGGTAAATTCTCTCTTCACTTGTTAAAGCTTAGCTTTCTTGTTATTCTTAATTCTTACCTCCCAGGCTCCCATATTGGATACCACTTTCTGCCACTTTTGCACTTTGCACTCTTCTAACAGTTGTTATCAACATTATATTAGTTTTTCTGCATGACCCTTCAGTTCTGAGTTATTCCTCTTTCTCTCTCTCCATCTTTAGTTGTGGGTGGGTGGTGGATAGATGGGTTCATGAGTTGTAGAAAATTTAGCTAATTTTTATTTTTAGATCTACGCTGTGTAATGGAAGTTATACTGTGGGTCCTGATTTCTTTAGCTACGCTGGGAGATTTTGTTGTATCGATGGGTCATCCTAATGCTGCTTGATTGTTTGTTTATGTGGAAATTGTTAACAAGTATGGATTTCGGTTTATTTTAGCTGCTGGGTTTCTCTGAAAGCTCGAAATAGTCCTCAGTTTGCATAAAATTTTCTGGGTTCTTCTCACAGTGTTCTTTGGTTGAAGATTTGCAAGTAGCGTTTTCGTCTGCCTTTCTTCTTAGAGTATTTAGACCTCTGGTACCTCTGCCGTTGTTAATACGTATTAGGGAGTCCCGTAGTAATTTTCTTATTTTTTTTTTCTGTGGAAAATCGGGCTATCGTTTTTAAGGCTATCATGTCAATTTAGAAACTCATAACTTTGATTTATCAATAGAGTGTAGAGAGTTTTTATTGAATACTTTTTGGAGGACCTAGAGGACTTGAAAGAATTCAGAAGATTTTTTATTTTGTCTTGCTCTAATTATTGGTAATTTTGTATTTAAATTATCTGCCATACTTTAAAGAAGATTTTAAGAGCTTTTTTTTTTGTCTCCAATGTTCGGAATTCTGATTTTATTTTCTTAATGGGATTTTGTAGAGCTTGATTGTGTAAACTGGGACATAAAGGAAACAAAGGACTTCTCTGCATATTCAAATAGCCAGGAGTTTTGTCATTCTCCACAATGGTTTCAAGATCATATTCCAACCTTTTGGACCTTGTCTCTGGTGATTCTCCATCCTTTGGTCGAGTAGGAAAGAGGCTTCCTAGAGTGATGACTGTGGCTGGGATCATGTCTGAATTAGATGATGACAATAGCAACAGTGTCAGCTCGGATGTGCCATCTTCTGTGTCTCAGGAGAGGATGATTATTGTGGGAAACCAGCTTCCACTCCGGGTACACCGAAGATCTGATGGTGATGGTGATGGTGATGGAGGATTGAATTTCAGCTGGGATGAGGATTCCCTCCTTCTGCAATTAAAGGATGGCCTTGGAGAAGATGTTGAAGTCATCTACATCGGTTGTTTGAGAGAGGAAATTGATCCAAGTGAACAGGATGATGTTGCACAGACACTACTTGAGACCTTTAAGTGTGTCCCTGCATTTATTCCTCCAGATCTCTTCAGTAAATTCTATCATGGTTTTTGTAAACAGCAACTATGGCCTCTGTTTCATTACATGCTTCCTCTCTCTCCAGATCTTGGTGGGCGTTTTGATAGATCTCTCTGGCAAGCTTATGTTTCTGTCAACAAGATTTTTGCAGACAAGGTGATGGAAGTGATAAGTCCTGATGATGATTTTGTGTGGGTGCACGACTACCATTTGATGGTGTTGCCAACCTTTTTGCGGAAAAGGTTTAATAGGGTAAAGCTTGGGTTCTTCCTCCATAGTCCCTTTCCATCATCTGAGATATACCGGACACTTCCTGTAAGAGATGAGCTTCTCCGAGCACTCCTAAACTCTGACTTAATTGGTTTTCATACATTTGATTATGCCAGGCACTTCCTTTCATGCTGTAGTAGAATGCTAGGCCTTGCTTATCAGTCTAAACGGGGCTACATTGGGCTTGAATACTTTGGTCGCACTGTCAGCATTAAAATTCTTCCTGTTGGGATTCATATGGGCCAGCTTCAATCTGTTATGAACCTTCCAGAGACTGAAGCTAAGGTTGCAGCATTACAGGAACAGTTTAGGGGTAAAATGGTGTTGCTTGGTGTGGATGACATGGACATCTTCAAAGGGATCAGCTTGAAACTGTTGGCTATGGAACAGTTGCTTATACAGCATCCTGATTGGAGGGGGAAGGTTGTGTTGGTTCAAATTGCAAACCCTGCCAGAGGCCGAGGGAAGGATGTTCAGGAGGTTCAGTCTGAGACTTATTCCACAGCAAAAAGGATCAATGAAACATTTGGGAGGCCGGGCTACAAACCTGTAATTTTGATTGATGCCCCACTTCAGTTCTATGAGAGAATTGCCTATTACATGATCGCTGAGTGTTGTCTTGTTACAGCAGTAAGAGATGGAATGAATCTCATACCCTATGAATACATTATAACCCGTCAAGGGAATAAAAAATTAGATGAAACCTTGCAATTGGATTCATCGTCTCCAAAGAAGAGCATGCTAGTGGTGTCAGAGTTCATTGGATGCTCACCATCACTCAGTGGGGCCATCCGTGTGAACCCATGGAACATCGACGCTGTGGCTGAAGCTATGGACTCTGCCTTAGTCACTCCTGAACCTGAGAAGCAATTACGGCATGAGAAGCACTATAGGTATGTAAGTACACATGATGTTGGGTACTGGGCACAGAGCTTTTTGCAGGATCTCCAAAGGGCATGTATGGAGCATCTCAGGAGGAGGTGCTGGGGCATTGGTTTTGGTTTAGGGTTTAGAGTAATTGCTCTTGACCATAGTTTCAGGAAGCTTTCAGTTGAGCATATAGTTTCTGCTTACAAGAGAACCAAGAATCGGGCAATTCTCCTAGATTATGATGGTACCATGATGCCACAGACATCAATCAACAAAACCCCAAATCCTGAGTCAGTCAATATCTTGAACAGCTTGTGCAGAGACCCCAAGAATGTAGTTTTCCTAGTTAGTGGAAGAGACAAAAAAACTCTTACTGATTGGTTTTCTCCTTGTGAAAAGCTCGGACTTGCAGCAGAGCATGGCTACTTTATGAGGTACGTATACACTCTCATTTTACTCCTTGATTGGTATTTCTCACTTTTAGTTCCAGATAGAACATTGTTTAGCTGTAGAATATAAGTTAATTACTCTGTTTTTTTTTTTAATATCAGCGGTTCCTGCATATGTGCAATTGTTTATCCCAACAGTGAAGTGAGTTATGTTATCTTGGCACATCAAGGTTGACTTGTAAAATGCATGTTGCTTACAAAAAATATCTTTAGTTAACAATATTCTTGCATGTGACAAAATTATGCCTCATAAGTGTTAATCTACCTCTGATTTATGTAAAATTGCTCGAGTTGTGACTTGATATGTAAACATTCTGAAAATCTTTTTTGAATCTAAATTATGTTTATTTAACCAGTATGACTGTTAGTACACTTATAACCATACACTTATCATTCATGTGAGGGGATGGACCAACCATTTGATGGGTCTAACTAGGAGGTTTTCTGGTTGGAAAAGATAATATGGACTTTGGAAGATGTCCTGAAATCTGAAATTACTATGGAGATTTGGTGGTTGGCGTTGACCACTTGAGATTGCTTTGGTCTTAGATACCTCTGACATATCAGTTGGTCTGGCTAGTCCTTTGCATTTTTACACTTTGATATTTTAGGGTTCCTTAGTTGATTGTTGTAATTCTTTCTGCTTGTGTTGCAAAAGAGAATGCAACATCTGTTTGCATATTTTATTTATCTTTTAAAATGTCTGTATTCTTCAGCCTTACCACTAAATAGAGCTCAACCCTTCCTTTTGTCAATTCTATTAAACCCAAATTGAATGTCTCCTCTTCAGGCCAAATCATGATGGAGAGTGGGAAACTTGTGTCTCTGTGGCAGATTTTGACTGGAAGCAGGTAGCAGAGCCTGTGATGAAGCTTTACACTGAGACAACTGATGGTTCTACAATAGAAAGCAAAGAGAGTGCACTGGTTTGGCACTACCAGTATGCGGATCCAGATTTTGGGTCATGCCAGGCTAAAGAACTTCTTGATCACCTAGAAGGTGTTCTTGCCAATGAGCCAGTCTCTGTGAAGAGTGGCCAACACATTGTTGAAGTTAAGCCTCAGGTTGGTATTATGAAGCTTACTCTCCAGTACATATTTATATGGAGGTGTTTACATTATTAGAAGAGCTATTGAATAGACCTACACCTTAAGCCATAACCTTTATATTTGCTTCAACATGAAGCTCATAGGAAAAAAGCTTATAATTCCAAAATGGAGTTGCTTACAATCTGGTTTTACTTTTACATATTCTAAAAAGGATACTCCTTATACATAAGAGATGTAAAAGAAGGAGAAGTATCAAATCAGTGGATTTTTTTTTTTTTTTTTTTGGGTAAGTAACAATGGCACTATCAATGGATCGGGTAGACCTGACAGAACCAAACTGAGCTAACCCAGTTATATAGGGTCTGTGTCTGCATTACATATCCCAATAATAATTGGGTTGGTTTTGGGTTTTGGTATTTTGTCCCAACTACAGTTGTTTGGGAATGGGATCAGTTTTGGTTATTCTGAACAGATTATAACCTGCACCAACTATATACATACAGTTTATATATGTATATTAGCATATTGCAAAGATAGCCCATTATAATACCTGTCTTTCTCATGGTTTACTTGTAATATGATCATATTCAAATATGCCAATTTAACAAATTTGCAGGTTTATTGTAGAGATGTATACTTTTAACTTATAATCATGTCTTTCCAGGTCAGACCTGATAGTTCCAATTAATAATTGGGTCAGCCTGGAAGTGTTTCTGTATATTCATTTATCCATTGAGGACTGGGTCTACCCAGACCTGGAAATTTGACAGAATTAAGAAGCAAGATAGAAAGAACAAGTGTGCTAAATGAAAAGGAGAGAAAATATCTGACTACAAAACCAGGAAAGGATCAAAAACAAGACCTAGAATGAGCAAGTCACAACCACATGGTCATCAATAAATTATTAAATACTATTCTCTTGGGAGAGCGGTGGGGGGAAGAGATCCTCAATACAACTACCTCCTCCCTAATGGTCCTTGACTAGTCTATTTACCATGGAATTGGCTGACCTCAGTATCCACTTGAATAAGTTAAAGCTGGATAGCAGAAATGCTCAAGATTCATGATGCATCAATAAAGAAAACTTAAAAAGGAAATCAATATTTGCATCCAATAAACCCTTTTTTTTATGGAAAGACCAAAAGCTTGGCCTAGAAGCATCAACATTAGAGTGGTTCGTTGGGTTAAAACTTTGACTCTTTAATCCTTTCTCCATAGAAGACACCACTAGAGGTTGGCTAGCTATGTATAGCAACAAGGTTTAAAATGTCAATGTTGGTGGAAATATCAATCATCCAAATAAAGGAAACTTGTTGGAAATGCTGTAAAAATGATAGACATGGTGGAAAGAGTGAAAAAATTGTGAAATATGCAAAAATATAGCATGCAATTTTATGTGATGATAAAGGAGGCATGGGTAGATCCTTTTAAATTATTATGTTGATCCAAATTGTCAAAACTACATGATAGGGTGAGTTCAAGCAAAATTTAAACTCATAGAAAGTGCAAATGATTCTAATAGATCAACCGAATAGTTCATCACACAATAATACTTCATGTTTGAAAACAATTTCTAGGAATATTCTAGAAATCTCTAGAATGCTCAACACTTTTCCTATCATAAAAAGCCTTCTAGAAGTGTCCATTGAACATTCCAAATAGCCTAACATTTTTAAATGATTCTAGGCTTACTTGACAATAGGATTGTACTGGTCTACCTTGGTCAGTGTCAGAACAATTTACAAAATTGTCTTACTAAAGCTTACCGTATTCCTGTAAGTTGTAACAAGATGAGGTGAGGTTTATCTTCTTTTATATAGATAGTAACCATTATCCATTGTTGGTCCTGGCAATCCAGGGCCTTGGAAGGGGTGCACCGGATATGACCTAACCTTTGGCCTTTTCTTGGAAAAAGGGGCCATTCTCTTATATAGGTAATAATAATATGCTAGTATTATTCTGAGTTCTGACACATGTAAGGGTTTAAAGGGAATGCAGAGGGTTACTGACTTGTTTCAATGATCACATCTTAGATGGTTCAGGCTCAAGATATAAGTCATTTTGATGACTGCAACAATTTGATTTATTGATTTATGCACCTTCTTAAAAGCTGTAGAAATGAAGAAAGTGGGATGGGGCATGTCAGTAAGCACCTAGGGCTGAAAATGGATTGGATTAAATCTAATTTGAATTCCAATGCAATATGTTTATGCCAGATTCTGATATCCATTTAGCCATAATCAGATTGAATTGGATTTGAAAATCTGATTTGTCTATTAATCAGATTGAATATGGATATTGCTTGATTAAAGTTCTTTAAGATTATGTGAGATTTGGGATTTATGTAACTTTGTTTTTCCTATTTACAATATACATCTTCTGGTTTTATATTTACCTTTGTAGATTTATGCTAGTTTTATGTGGATTTCTGAAGCTTCAAATCAATTTGTATATCCAGATATATAAATAATAAATCAGATTTGAATCCATGTTCTATGTACCTTTCAGATATTGAATCAAATTCAGATCTCCCATATTCTTACTGGGTCAGATTCGGATATATTCCTATCTAAATTTGATCTAATCTGTTGTGCCCTACATGCACCTTTTTGTTTTTTTGACTTGGAGAATATAAGAGAGTCATATTCAAATGAGTAGCTTTGCCCAGTCTCTGTTTGTATGTGTTCATGGAATCTTGTTGGCGCTATCTAACCAGGAGATACTTTTGATGGACCCATATAATGGTGATTCCCTTCCATTATTTCCTTCTTACTGTGGTTTATGCCTTCTATATACATTTACAACATTCACCATTATGTAGTGGTATAAATGATTAATTTCTCTAAGTAATCCATATTTTTTATTTCACTTGGACTTTCTGGGTAATGCTCAATTATTTTTAGAATTTTGATATCATAAATGATCACTAATTAATATTCATTGTTCTTCTACTGTTGCTATTATGGTTTCTGTTGGAATCTGAAAATTTTCTATTTCTGATCCTGTGGTATAGGGTGTCAGTAAGGGTGTTGTAGCTGAACGCCTCTTGGCAACAATGCAACAGAAGGGAATGCTTCCTGATTTTATACTGTGCATTGGTGATGATCGATCAGATGAAGACATGTTTGAGGTGATTACTAGTGCCATGGCGGGCCCTTCTCTCTCTCCAGTGGCTGAAGTGTTTGCCTGCACTGTTGGTCAGAAACCGAGTAAGGCTAAGTATTATTTAGAAGATACAACTGAGATAGTAAGAATGTTGCAAGGCCTTGCTGCTGCTTCAGATCAGGCAGCAAAGAGTAATTCTCAACTTTTTCAATAAGTTATGATTGATTGAAGACCGATCCCGAGCTCTGATTTGAAGGTTTTATTGTTCTTCCTTCAATTTTAGCAATGCTTTCTCAAGCGAATCTGGTGTAGGTTGAGGTGGAAGCCCCAGATCAGCTGAGAGGAGCTCTTAGCCCTGAGGTCTGGGTCGTGGGTTTGGTTCCTATTTGCCATCAGAATATAGTTCTACCTCACTGTTGTTGCATTTGTATAATCTGTATTGTTTATAGACAATTAGCATTCAATTTCTTCTTCGTGGTTCAGTACTGCAGTGTATATATTTTCTTTTCCATATCCACTGATGACTGGTATGTGTCAGTGGAATATTCATTAGGCATTGGGGAGTCAGGTTAGTCATATAATCTACAGCTAGGAGTTTCTGAAATTTATAATGCATTAGGGAGCCAGGTATCTGAATTTTTACTTCACTGCAAATGTGATTCCTTCACATATAAATATGCTTAACTGCATTTTGATCTTCAGATTATTCAGTTATGATGTCACATCATTGTTGGGCTGTATCCTGACCTCACCTATTGGCTAGGCAGGATATGCACTGGCGGATTCATCCACTGGATAACCTTACCCTCCGGTGAAGTGCAAAAATTTGGTCTCTTGAGAATTCAGTCATCTTCAGATGTGGATGATCATTGCCTTGTAATGAGGGTATCTTCTCAAATTTCTTCCTCCTCCCATTAAGTTCTTGGTTATGACTTATGAGTCACCAAGATAGCAGGCGCCTTGCCACCCAAATCCCAAAGGTGTTCTATGTCTTTTGGGCCGGCCTGCCTACCTAACAAGCTTGCACATCTTATATGTGGAAGCCTGGTTCCAGTGATCTGATTCTCAGATGAATTGGGTTAAGAAAATGTAGTCAGCCGTCAAATAACTAGTATTAATGGTACAAAGAAATGGTGTTGCTTGTAAATAGGTGTTGCATTAGTTGGTTAAAGAACCTCCAAATAACTAGTTTTCATGGTAGAAAAAGCTTTTATTAGTTAGTAATGTTGTGTTTATTTGTAGTTCAAATTTCATTTGCGCAGGTGCAAAGTAGGGTAAATGGATCGAGTTTAATACCAAAAAACTTAATAGACTGAATTAAATTCTGGTTTGCTTTTATTTATTTCAGATTTTACTTTGTTTTGTTTCATTGGGAGGAGTGAAATTGGGAGTAAATTGAAGTTGTCCTAGTTTTATGAGAGGTTGAAGGTAGCAGGAAGGTGATGTAAATTTTTTTTCAGTTTTTGGGGGGTGTAAGATTGCATTCACCACAAATGCAAAAAGGAATCTGAACTGGATGCAATCATATTTAGATTTACGCTGCAAACAAGCGGAGCCTAAAAGCATGGTTCTAAGTATCGCTATGCATGATCACAATTTTGCTTATTGTGCATTTCAAAGGGCTGATACTCATGGATGCAGAATGTTCCAATTGTCAAAGCTTTGAATCTGAGCATGTCTAGGAAGGCTATTAACTACCGAATGTATCCGCATCACAAGTCCTAAATCCTGAATTACAGCCCCCCATAGTCTATTAGTAGCTCCCCTATAAATTGCATCCTGCCCGTGGATTTGACATCAATCCACGGTCAAGATTCATCCCCCTGTATGATGGGGCTAAGTTGGGCTGATCAGTCATTCTTCCCTTTTTTTTCGTGAGAAAAATATGTCAATACTTTGAGCCTTATTTATAATATATACACAAGATGGTCATCCGGAATTGCCGAGAAGGGAATCAAGCTGCGGATAGTCTTGTAGAAAGAGGTAATGTAATTGAAGGCCACACTTGTATTGCAATCCTCCTTTCATTTCAAGGATTATTTGTGGAGTATTTGGGCTGCACTACGGCCAGGGGTGTGGGGTGGGATATTCACATGAAGCCTAAGGGTGCTTTTGGTTTGATGGAAAAAATAGGGTAACCTTACGTAGTTACGTTTCCTTTCTTTTCCCTACCTTTTCCTTCAAACCAAACATAGCCTAAAACGATATTTGTATCAAAATATGGTAATAGGATTTTGAGATGCCTCAGCCAGGCCTGCACACCATGCTCGAATCCTGGTTATATATACTCCTGGGCTCAGTCCGGGCCATGCCAGACATTTTGGGCCTAAGATTTTAGGTACTGGGCTCAGGGTGTGGGTTCAGACTGGGCTGGGCTTGGAAGAAAAACTTCTAGATGGGCCCCGGACCAGGCAATGTAGGCCCTAAGGCAGACTAACTTAACTGAGAATAGGGCTGCAAGTCGGGCTGGGTTAGGTTGGGTTGAGGCCAACCCTAGCCCAACACTAAGTTGTAAACCCTCAACCCTAACCCTAATCCAACCCGACCTACCCAACCCTAACCCTAACTCTAACTAAATTCTTTCAACCTTAACCCAATCCAACCCAACCTGAAGTCAACTTCAGGTTGGGTTGGGCCCAACCCAACCTTCTTCTCATCCTTTAAAATCTCGTGAAACTTCTTAACTCAACTTTCACTACATGTATTAATCCTATGTCTTATTAGTATTTCTTTGTTGATGTTTTTACCGGTTCTTTAGGCTGCATTTGGAAACGATGCAAATAAGTGTGAATGCAAATAGGTAGAGTGTAAAATGGTCCATATAAATTGCAATGTTGGGTTAGTTTTGCATTGACAAATTTACCTTCTTACCAAACAGACTTTTAACTTTAATGGATGCAAACACGAATTTCAATAAAGCACATGCCTTTTTTTTTTTATCAAAAGCCTAGTTGAATGCAAATTTACTTCTTTTTTATTGATGTAATTTTACATCTTATTATCAATGTAAATATGCATTGGAAAATGTGTTTTTTGTCATTTGTCAATGCATATGTTGCCAAACACAAGCAAAAGTGAACTAGAGTGCAAATTAACATGAATTGGGATTTACACTTCATTTGCATTGTTTCCAATCATAGCCTTAAGTACAAAATTCAGAAAATAAGTGTTTGAAATGACTATAGTTTATTATGAGTTATGACTTATAATAGATCTTTTATGGGCAGCAAGCTATGAGTGGCAAACAACAAAGAGGAGATAAAGAATAAAATATTCAAAATACATAAAAACATGTTATTAAGGTTTTAATATTTCCAATTAGGATTAAGTGAAGTGATTATCTTGAAAGAATTAAATGATAGTATGTGGTGGGGGCTATACAACTGCCATGCATATAAACAAATCGATGTATGATTATATATATATATATATAATCATACACAAACACGCACTAGTAATTAAGCACATGCGTTGCACGTGGGAAATTTTTCTTCATATTAATTACTTGAATTTTAGATATATCATAGATGAGATAGAAATTGAAAATTAACAAAAATGAAAATATGCTTAAAAATAATTAAACTTAAATGCTTGTAGCAAATAACAATTATTATTATTATTATTATTAAATTTTGTATTCCATTTCCATCATAAATAAAATAACTTTTATTTTAACAATTATTTTTATTTAATATGATGAATATATAACATTAGAAATGTTCTCAAATGTTTTGGACAAAATTCTGTACATTTTCATTTTTGGTTTCTATCTTTTTTTAATATTTAATATTCAATTATGACATCATGGGTTTCTTTGAAAAGTTGAATCATTGACCCACCATCTAGATAAGAAAATAGCTTTGCTTTCGGATTAGTTTTAAATTAGGCTACAGGTTGGTCCAAAAACCAACAAAACTCCAAGAACCAGTTCTACATTTCAAATTATAAAAACCCTTACCATATCATCAGAGGCTTATATGTGGGAGTCCGGATCTCCTACCCACGTTTATCGCAGCCACACATGGAGAACATTTCATCCTCTGCATAGTATTATCTAGGGGGAGATGTTCCCAGTTCACGAGAGATAGTGTATTGTGGGTAGGTGTGGGCAGAGTTCTCGTGGGCGGGAGATCCAACGTCTATATGTGGTTGTTGCCAACATGAGACTCTTAATCCATGTTGGACACAACAAAAAACTTATACTGAAAATGCCCTTTAATGTTGGGTGATTGGAAAATAAAAAAGGGGTTTTTAGTTTCTCATACGCTCTCTTGCTCTCTCTCTCTCTCTTAATCTCCCTCCCACTCTCTCACTATCATAGTTGTCTTTCTCTACTAAATGATTGTGTGATTTGAAAATAAATAAAAATGGTTTTTGGTTTCTATATTTATATTCTCTCTATCAATTTCTCTTATTCTCTCTCTACCTATCATTCTCCATTAATATCTCTCATTTTCTTTCTCAATCGATATCTCCTTCTCCCTTAATTTCTATTGTTCTCTCTTAGTTTCTCTCTCGCTCCCTCTCTTGTTGATTTTTTTTTTATTTTTCTTACACACTTATATGATATTAATCATATTGTATAAAAGAACATGAGGCCAACTTGGTATGGTTCAAAAATCATTACACCAGTTTGATAAAAATTCACAAGAAACTCTTTGCTACGAAATTTACACCAACTTGATAGAAATTTATAACTTGATTGTACAAGTGATTGGTCCCTTTAGTTCTTTTATATGGTCTGATTAATATTGTATAAGTTTGTAAGAAAATAAAAAAAGAATGAGAGTGGGAATGGAAGAGAGACTGAGGGAAAACAATAGAGATTGACCGAGAGGGAGAGTGAGGGAGAACAATATATATATATATATATATATATATATATATATAGAGAGAGAGAGAGAGAGAGAGAGAGAGAGAGAGATTTTGATTTGACTACATACTGAAATTGAAAGAGTGGGAGAAACAGAGGGAGCGAGAGGTTAAGAGATGATTGTGAGAGTGAGAGAGAAGGGAAAGAGATTGAGAGACAGAGGGAGTGGGAGAGAAACTAAAAACCTATTTTTGGCAACAACCACATAATTTGAAATGTAGAGTTAATTTTCAGAGTTTTGTTGGTTTTTGGACAAACATGCAACCTAATTTTAAATGTAAAACCAGCTTTGATTATAATTTTCCCTTTAAACTATATATTTTACTTACATTATATAAAATAATTTTTACTTATCACACTTAATTTTTTTTTTTGCCTATGATACCATTTGACCCAAGCCACTAACCCACCACCCAAAAGGAAAAATAGTTTGATTTCTAGGTTGACATTAAATTGTGTATTACATTTCCATCATTGCTAAAATTATTATTATGGATAATACTTATTTTTGTTCAATATAATGAATGCGTAATATTAGAGGTGTACCCAATATTTTATTTTATTTATAAATATATAACATTATATGCGTCCAAAATTTTCTCTATCTTTTTTTCTATTTTTAAAAATTTTATTATTTGACTATGACATCATTTCATTTCTAGGTAGATTTTAAATTTGACATTCCATTTTCATCATTAATAAAAATACTTCTTATATTTCATACTTTTTTATTTTAAATTTTTATTATTTAATTATGACATTATTTATTTATCC